TCTGCCATGTGATGAGCCATTGTGGATGTCCAACCCAGTCCAGCCTTCAGATAACACCACCCCAGCTGCTATCCAACTACAACCTCTTGAGAGACCCCAAGTGAGAACCACCCAGCTGAGCCCAGTCAACCCATGGGATACTGAGAGAGAAGAATAAATTATTGTTTTGAGCCACTGAGTTTGAAGATGGTTGGTTACACAGCAACAAATAATAGGACCACTCCCCATTGAAGTATTTAGGACCCTCAGGTTTTCTTGGGGCATTAAATAAAATTGCGATTATTCCTTCAACAGCCCTGGTCCTGAGATGGGGTCAATGGGTATTTACTCTTTAAGGAACAATCCCTTGTATCATAGTTTTTCTGATAACTCAAATATCTTTTGAAGATAGCTGAGTGTTTTTATAGATAGCTGCTTCTTGTGAATCTGGCTTTCTTGTTCTCAGTTTGGGAGATTTCCTCCATGCTCTTTAGTTGGGAGATCAACTGGAATGACAGACTCCCTTGGAGAGCCACCTGTCTTTGCTATATGTTGGTTTGGGCCGCTCACTGGGAGGCAGAATTTGGTGAGGATCAATGGACACAGAAGAGAAATTAGAGTTAGAAAAAGGCATCCAGCTAGCAATTAGAAAATACTGTCAGTATAAGGACACATCATCCACATCACTATACACATCCTATTGATTTCCTCTTAGCGTTAAATACTTGCTGTGTGAAAAGCACTATGATGAATACAAAGACACATGATATGTGATCTCTGCCCTCAGAGAGCTCACAAGATAGCCTGGAGAGACAATGACATAAACCCTTAAGAAGCTAAATGATGGTATAAAACCATAATTAGAAATATGTCATAAGGAAGCCTTTCTACACAATGGATGGAAATAAAGGAGCTGTGAGTTCCATGGATTATTTGTTTGAGTTGGGACAAGGGAAAATTATTGACCTGGTCACCTGGGGATGGATGTTCAGAGATATTTTACTTTTCAGAATTATTTTATAACCACAGAGACCATTCCGTGGTAGCAATATGTTCAAATCTGATCTTAAACCTTAAAAGGGATGATGCTTGGAAATAACCACGTGATACAAGAAAGACAAATATAGAAAAGTCGTATCCAAGAAGCTTTTAATAGAATAGATCCCAATGACCAGATGTTCTAGAAGAAAAGGAGCAGATGTGAAGTGTCCAGATACAGAAATAGGATTGTGAATAATGGATAATTGAAGGAACCCAGATGTACTAGTTTGAATAACGTCACCTAAAAATTCAGAATCTCAGAATGTGACTTTATTTGAAACAGGACCATTAAAGATGCAATTAGTTAAGATGACGAGGTCATCCTTGGATAGAGTAAGCTCTTAATCCATATGACTGGTGTCTTTATAAAAAGAGAAAACAGAGACACAGGCACACACAGAGTAAATGTCTAATGAAAAACCAGATACAGAGGGAGAACACCATGTGATAACGGAGGCAGAGATTGGAGTAATGTTTGAGCAAGCCAAGGAATGCCAAGGATTGCTGGCAACATCAGAAGCTAAGAGGAAGGCATGGAACATATTCTCCCCTAGAGCCTTCAGAGAGAGAGCGGCCCAGTTAACACCTTGATTTCAGATTTCTAGCCTCCAGAACTGTGGGAGAATAAATTTCTATTTTAAGCCACCCAGTCTGTTGGTACTTCGTTGTGGCCACCCTAGGAAACTACCACACCAGGGTATCCTATTTCTCCAGACCTCCTTGTTTCTGCTGAAGGCTGATCTTGCAGCTTTCTGGATGTCCCGACCTCTGTCCTAGGCCTCCGATTCTGCCTCTACTGTGACACCCCAAGCTTTCTGGCTTACCCTCAAAATGGCCCTTATCCCACTCCTGCCACCACCAAGGAACCTGGCAGGATGAATGCGGTCTCACTGCTTGGGTACCAGAAAGTGGTGACACTAGTGGTAGGTATGTGTACATAAGGCAGTCACTGCAGTGACCAAGCAACTTTCCACACCTGGCTCTCTGGGCACAGCCTTTGATTGGGGTGCAGCTGCCACCAGCACCATCCCTGCAGAGCCCTGCAACCTTGGTGGCAAAGAGCAGATAGCTGAGCCATTCCAGGTCACAGCATGACACTGGCAGAAAGAGATGCTTTCCTGCAACTCTCTGGGTCCTATATTTGCTGCTAGCCTCAACCCCAGGGGGGATTTCTCTATTAACAGCATTTTTTTGTGCCCTGGAAAGCTATTGAATTTGATTGGTTCTGTGGCTTGAGTTTGAGAGAATTCAGGATCTGTCTTCTTGGCTCGTTGCAGAAGGCCCAGCCTGGCACTTTGGAAGAGATCTTTCATGGAATTCCCCATTGTTTGACCTGGTAGGCTTAGTCTTCCACTGTCACCCTATTGAGCTATCCCTAGAGATTCACAAGAGCCTCCCAAGCCCCAAGGACAAGCCCCAGAATTAGAAGATCCTGCAGATAATGACTACAGGTAGCGGTGCAGAAATAGAAGAGATGGGTTTGAATCACTTCATTCCAGAACTGTGATTTCCAATACAGTAGCCACTAGCCACATGTAGCCCCTTAAATTTAAGCTGTAATTATTTAAAGTTAAGTAAAATTTAAAATTCAGTTCATCAGTCACACTAGCCACATTTCAAGGACTCAGTAGCCACATGTGGCTGGTGGCTACCATATTGGAGCACAGATATGGAATCCTTCCATCATCGCAGAAAGTTCTATCAGGTAGCACTGGTCTAGAGCTATTTGTTTTCCAAACCTTTCCACACACATGCTCTCTTCCCCTTTTTTACTAAGTGTAGTTTCCTGAGGTAAATATTGAGAATATGTCAACTCCATAACACAAAGAAACATCATTTTATTCACTTAATGTCTGTTAGAGATAATAAAAAGTTTGTGTCCATTTTTAAAAAGAGGGGGAATACTTGGATGTTATCACTGTACCCTACACTACAGAGCAGCGCTCACAGCACTAGTGTTTGCAGATGAAATGTACCTTCCTTGCGTCATTTGTTGACGCTACTGTGCAGTGATTCTGAGCCCTGTGGGCAGGAGCCTTTGCGAACCAATGTGGCTAGCTTTCATTCCACACCTACACACTTTCTATCTCCACCTTCTGTCCTTGGCAACAGAGCTGCACTGGGAGAGTAACCCAAATTTGGATGTGGGGAGTGGAGAGACGGCTACTGTTGAGCTCCTGCAAAAAGCCTGAGTGAGACCATTGAAAATGAATGGAACATTCATGCTATTTTCTCCTCCAGTTTCTATAATTTTCTTGTATCAAAGCTGGATGACAATGAAACTATGTACTTCATTATTTGGCTCTCCATAAAAATCACTTCACCACACCCTAGAATTTAAAATTATGCTTCTGGCTTTTGTTGAGAGTAGCTGTATGTAAAAGTTTCCTGCACTTTTTGTTGTAAGAAAAGTATCAAAAACATCATTTATTGTGTTTCAGTGCGTCTTATGTAAAGACTTGTGAGATAATTCCTCTTATAATTCAATACCAGAGCAAAAGTTGTCTTTACTGACAAACTTATAAGCTAGCTCTTTCAAATGCTGAGAGTTATGTAATCCATTCAAATCTCTTTTTGTCTTGGCTCCAAGGAAGCTCTAAAAATTTTTTTGTTCACTTGCAGCTGTTTCCCTAGCCTAGATTTTCTGGTATAATAATCATCCCCTACCATGACTTGTCATCACTTGTTCTTATTATTATATTTAAGAGTTTTGGTTTTCTGTTATTGTTTTGTTTTAGTAATTGTATTCTTGTAAACCTCCTCTTCTTTTTGGACATAAATTGAACATCAATTTATCAATGAATATCAAAAAAGAGGGGAAATAAATATTGCTAGGCCAGTGCTTCTCAGAGTTTAATGTGCACTTAAATCACCCAGGGATCTTGTTAAGCTGTGGATTCCAATTCCACGTGTCTGAGGTGGGGCCTGACATTCCACTGCTGGTCCACAGACCACCGCGTGAGTGGGAGATGGCAGTGTGTAGCTTGTGAACTAGCACCCTATTGCTGCTAGAAGGAGTCAGAGGAATAAATACAGCAAGTGAACTGTAAATGGAAAGGACAGAAGCTGAGGGAAATAGTCTCATCTTCCAACACAAAATGAATAAGACCAATTCCCCATCCCCCTCTCCCCCATGCTTTGGTTTGGAGAGGGTCCCATAGATGTGAAGCAGCACAGCAGAGCTAAGAGCTGCACTCTGGAGCCACACTGTCTGACCTAGAGTCTCCACTCCATCCCTTCCTAGTGTGTCTTTGGGCAAATTGTCACTAGGCCTCAGTTTCCCTATCTGCAAAATGGGGACAATACTAGTACATTTTTCAGAGTAGTTTCAAGGACTCAGTGAATTAATAGATGTGAAGTGCTGGGAACAACGCCTAGGCCATCATAAACACTGTGCGGGTGGTGGTTAAATCAGTGAATGAATTCAGCATTCTGCTTCTAAACAACTGAATAAGGTTTATCCTGGATGAGTGGATGCATTTCTGACCGACTGTATATCACTTGGATCTAAACTGGACTCTGTTTTTCCCCTGTGGATTGAGGAAGGGGCAGGAGGGGGGACTACGTCTTTGATGAAAGGTCAGATTCATGAGGCATCCTCTTTATTTTTTTTTAAGTGAAAAAAATGACGGCCTTAAGAGTTGGAGTTAAAACTGACAGGAGTGACCCAGGGAAGCCGAGTCAGTGGGGTTGTTGTAGTTTCTGTAGAGCAGCCACTTGGTGGGCATCCTGGTGACCCTCACTTAAATGTGGCCCCCTTCAGATACCTTCTTTAAAGAGACTTTTTACTGTTGGCTAATGCTGGTGTACAAAAGTCTGCATTTGGGATTTATGCAGGTTTTATGGAATCTGTCACTTAAATATGAGACATTTCCCTTTGGCCCTTGGCAGCAAAATAAATTTGAGTTGCTGAAGAGAATATGACACAGGTTTTTGCCTGGTATTGATCACCTTTTAAACCTTTGTTCCCCCTCCCAAAGCAAAGAGCCCAGCCAGCACCGAGTAAAGAGATGGGGCTTCTCTTTCGACGAGATATTGAAGGACCAGGTGGGGCGGGACCAGTTTCTACGATTTCTGGAGTCGGAATTCAGTTCCGAAAACCTCAGGTAAATCTCTCCAAGGTTTGAGTTGTGTGCAGAGTGTATATGAAGAAATTTGCATCCCTCTTTCCACCTCCCTTTGTCAATCAGATGTTATGGTTCAGATTCAAATTCCAGTTAATCTGGCTAAGGTTGACACAGAGAACAAACTTTATGTGCAGCTTTGTTATCACCAGATTAGCACTGACCAATACCAGCATTTTTTGTTCTTTAAGTCCAGATGACATGTTTTCAAGTTATTGGAAACATGTCTCCAATAATAAGTCAATGGTCAAGTGGATTTAATGACGCTGTCCATTAACTAAAACCATAAAACCATGGAAATCCACAGTGGAAAGGCAGTTCAGAGACCATCCCCTTCAAAACTTCCCAGTCCAGGGTCCTGAATACTGGACAGGCTAACCAGAAGAAAGAACGGTCAGTGGGCTCATTTCAGAATTTCAGAAAGCCAAAGTAAATATCATTCAAGACCTGGAGACGTAACTGTAAAAGCTAATTAAAACATGCTTTTCCTTTTGGGAGGAATTCTAGCAACTTCGTGTAGTCACTTGATGCCCATGAGAACATCTGATTGTTTCTACTGGGCTACGACTAATCAAGATGAGGGGAAACGTCTAATGTGCTTACGGTTACTGTTTAGTAGAAAAAATGAAAACTTTCAAAACATGGGGCCCATTGTAAGTGAAAGGAAAGGGAGCACATTAAAAGGGCAGATATCTTGGTCATGAAAAATCTGGTAATGTGGTTTACAGGCTTTCACTGTGTTAGATGTTGAAACAGAGACGCATAGAAAATGTAACTTATCTAAGACCCTTACTGATCTTAGCCAAGTGGTGGCTTCTCAGTGGATTAGATGGAAATCTCAGTGTTTTCTTGGCCCCAAGCTCTCTTTTATATACAAGTTTAATTCCCATCTTCCAGTGGCATTTTTCCAAAGAGTGGCTTTATAAATTTTTTATTTTTTTTATTTTTTTACTTTAAAAAGAGCATATGCTGTGGGCAAAGGACTGTCTGCTCCAGTGTCAATGTGCAAAATCCATGTTATTTATTTAGAGTTAGAGACCATGTCGGTCCCGTACGTCCATCAAATGATGTTTATTACACACCTATCCTGTACCCAGCCCCCGAGAGCCAGCTAAGGGATGCGAGAAAGTCAAGATGCGTGATCTTTGCCTGCAACGACTTTGTAGGTCCTTGAGGAGAAGACACAAGAAACTCTTAAGTCATTAGATGAATATAAATGAGTGTAAACTCTAAGAACCTTTTTTTTTTTTTAATGTTGAGCCTTCTTTTAATGTATTCATTTTTTAAATTTTTGTATGTGTTGGGTCTTCGTTTCTGTGCAAGGGCTTTCTCTAGTTGCGGCGAGCGGGGGCCACTCTTCATCGCAGTGCGCGGGCCTCTCACTGTCACGGCCTCTCTTGTTGCGGAGCACAGGCTCCAGACGCGCAGGCTCAGTAGTTGTAGCTCACGGGCCTAGTTGCTCCGAGGCATGTGGGATCTTCCCAGACCAGGGCTCAAACCCGTGTCCCCTGCATTGGCAGGCAGATTCTCAACCACTGTGCCACCAGGGAAGCCTTCTAAGAACCATTCTGGAAGTGTTTTAAAAAGGAACAGATGAGTGTAAACCAGAGTAGGCAAATCATAAGCTGGACTTTGAAGAGTGTACAAGATACTGACATAGACAAGAAAGAGGGAGGGGGAGTGTTCTACGCTGGAAGACCCTGAGACCAAAGATGTGGCAGGGGGACCCTCCCACACCACAAAGTCCTGGGAGGACGTGTAGATGCTGATTAACTGTAATAGTGATGACTTTCCAGCCAGCCATATGCCTGCTGTAAACCAGGTAAGGTTGAATATCTGATTTCAGGTTATGACACAAAAGAGTTCTCTCCTTGTGCTGTGGCATTGTACCAAACACATCTCAGAGTTGCGCTTCAGTTCCTTATTGAGTATTCATGACAGAAGACTTGACTCTAAAACTCTTTATCGGGACGGTGCTCAAACCAGCTTCCCAGGCAGTGCCTGCAGGTGGGTCCTGCATGGGAAGCCACGCCCCCTGTGGCCACCATCATGCACCCAGGCAAACTCTGTGTGGCCAGTTCAGCCCCAGGTCCTACCCCCAGCTTGGTCCCCATGAGCCACCCCTGGGAGCCCTTTCCACGTCCCCTTCTCATCCCTGTCCCCCAGGCCCCCAAGATGGAGCGGTATAGAGGCCCCCTTTACCTGACTATTTCTCAGCCACCTGCACCACTGCAGAGACTTTGAGGGATGGCCACAGGGTGCTGGTCCTCGTGAGGGGCCCCAGGGCGGGAGCATCTGCTGACTCAGCACTGCCTTGCCCAGTCTGAGCACATCCAGGGCCACGAAATCCGCTGTGCATTTCACGCCGGGAGTACACGGAGGAGTGTGTCCCTGGCAGGTGTGCAGCACCTCATCCTGCTTTACCTCCTGCACCAGCGCCTTTTGCTCCTGCGCCAGGAGGGCTCTGTTCAGTCCTGGCTGAGAGAATGCGTGTGAACGCACATGAGCATGCCAGGGACTAATCTCCACCCCCAGCGTGGATGCATAAATCCAGACTTAAAGAGGGTCCCCTCTGATCCGTGACAGGAGAGCGGATAAAGGAAATAGAACAGGTGGAGATAAAATGTATAGCCCAAGAGCTTCTAAAATCCTCTCTGCAAGCTCAGACTCTACTTTTATGATATTCAGCGTAATTGGATATATGGGGGGAAGCTTGGTTTGAAATCACACAACGTTAGGACTCTTCGGTCACCAGAACCAGGCCCTCCCTCCCTTCCCTTTGCAGTCGTTCCTGTGGCCACAGATGTTGGCCTGGTGCCCACCGCGACTCAGGTCCTGAGGGCACAGAGCTGAATGTGTCTCACCCCTTGTCCAGGGCGGCCACGAGCAGCCCTGCAGGTGCATCTCTGCTGTTGGTCCCTGTGAAGGGCGGTCCCTAGAGCCGTGCCATGTGGCACAACATGAGGACCCTGCTCATCTGTGGTGTTGGCCACCCCAGGGTTGTCCTTTCTCCCCAGGACTGGTCAAGCCCAGGCATCTGGCATTGGAGCAGGGGAGGAAAAGAGAGAGACTGACCAGAACTCAACTGGATACACTGCAAAGCCCTCTCCACATCTGTCCTCCCTCACTCCCTTGCATCTCTCCAGTGAAAGGGGTATTTAGAGCAAGACATTTCTGCAGGACACCTAGAAAAATTTTGCCAGTTAAGTAACCAAGTCGTCCAAACTATACCAGAGCTTCAGAATACAGAGCAGAGGAGCTCCAAAGAGACATAGGTATTGCTCTCACCACAGTGAAAGGTCACCCTGGATCCTTTAAGAAAAGATGTCTTACATTTGTGATCATACAGTGTAAGTTGACGTCCCCTTTGATCATTTTTCTTTGGGGTGAGCCTGTGAGATGAGGGAGGGGTGGCATCTCCAGGCAGTTGAGGGGGCACGACCAGCACATTTTGCTGCAGACAGCACAGGGTGTGATTGTATGCTCTCTGCAGCTCCCTGGGCCGAGCCGGGGGCTCCATTCGGTGGGCCCTCCTGGAGATAGCTGTTTGCTCAGGGCCTCTAGAATGCATCCAAGGTGGTGCCTCCCAGTGCTGAAGCAGGGAGTCCCAGAGAGTGACCTGGTCCCTCTCTTTTCTCTGTGTGTTTTCCTAGAATGGTGACAGGAGCCCCTTGCCACCTTTGCCCCCCTCCATCTCCCCTGCACAAATCTCTGTCCTACCTGGCTTGACACCCACTGCCGCTCAGCAGGGCACGAGTTAAAAATCAAAACCTGCAGCAAAGAGCATCCATCCCCCGTACATTTTTTACGAACTGTAACTCTCCTGAGAGAATGTGGTTGCTCTTCTAACCTGCAGATTGATTATCCCTGTTCCACACAGTGTCAGCTGAAAGGAGAAGCCATTAAAGAGAGCGCAAGGAGAGTCGCCAGGTTGGCCTGGAGCGCCGCCATCTCCCACAGTCGCCCCGAGTCATAGGAAGACCTCGGAAGGTTGGCCAGGCCTGGCAGTGTTCCCCACGAAGCAAACACATGGTTAATGGGAACAGAGGTGCTCACACAACACTGGGACAATCTGTGGCATTTCAGCCACTGCCTGGCGAATATCACTTGGCTTCCGTGGTGCTGCTGGTGGTGGCGTTCCAGCCCAACCAGAGACAAGTCAAGTGGCATCCGTTGTGCCCGAGTCTCTGTTGACCAGCAGAGGGCACAGAAACCCTTCCTTCTGCATGCAGTTGGCTTTTCCCTGGGAACGAACTAAAAGCTGAATTTTTCTAATCCATGAAAATCTTAGTTGATGAGAAGATAGGTAAGCGAGGAACTAAGGGCTGCCCAGACCTCCTGATAGGATGGAGAGCGTCCAGCTGCTGCATTGTTCCCCTTGTTGCAGCCAGCCTTGGGGAGGAAACCCCATTCCCTGTCAGCACTCTGGCCCTGCAGGAGATAGGAGGCCCCCTGGGGCAGCCCCCGACCGCCCTCAAGTCCCATCCACTGCTGCTTGGCGCCGGGGGTGTCTGAGTCCAGACTGCCTCCCCGCAAAGGCCAGTTGCCACCTGCATTCCTAAGCCAATGACACGGATCACATGCTGGCATAGGGCTGGCTTCCCCACCCTGCCGACTCCCGCAAAGCAGGACAGGTGGTCTCCCTGATACCTGAGTGTCCTCGTGGCCTGCCAGTCATGACAGCCCTTCTGCTGCAAGAAGCCACAGAGGCTTAGTGCAGGGTGGGCACCAATCTGCTGCCACTGGCACCCTCCTCCCTGCTGGTGTCCTGGAGGAGCAGAAGCCGCGCAGGCCTCAGTGGGCCTCCCATCCTCAGTAGATAGGGGAGGGGAGCTTCAGGGCCTCTTTCAAGGGGTGGGAGGCCGGGCAGCCAGGGATCAGAGCCCCCAGCTCAGGCTCGTGGGCTCACAGATGGCAAATACAAACCAAGCCTGTTCTGAATTTCTAATTGACACAAAGGTTCCTTGAAGCCAGTGATGGTAAACACATATGGGATGTCAGGATGCTGTTGTGATAGCATTTTTTTTTTTTGGCGGTACGCGGGCCTCTCACTGCTGTGTCCTCTCCTGCTGCGGAGCACAGGCTCCGGACACGCAGGCTCAGCAGCCATGGCTCACGGGCCCAGCCGCGGGGATCTTCCCGGACCGGGGCACGAACCCGTGTCCCCTGCATCGGCAGGCGGACTCCCAACCACTGCGCCACCAGGGAAGCCCCTGTGATAGCATCTTTGCTGTCACCTGAGAGGGATGAGACAGGTCATCTCCAAGGCAGACAGAGGGCTGAGAGGGTCCCCATGCACACAGGGAGAGAAAGCTGCTGTCTGGGGAATGTCATCCCCGCCCCTCCCCTTCCTCTGATAAAGGGAACCTTTTAATTTCTTATGTAAAAGTTTATTAAATTTGATTCTGAAATTTCCATTTCCATCCGCCCCAGACCTTCTGTATACCCAGCTGAGCGATGTGCATTAATGTGGCTCCCAACTCATTCTGCCAAAGGGACGCTGAGGCCTCAGGGGCCACGGGGAGCCTGCAGCGCTCAGAAGCCGCCGGGGCCTCAGGGCCTCCCCAGAGCTGCTCCTCAGAGCAGACTGGAACAAGGGACAGAAGGGGACAGAAGGGGATGCCCACATGACAGTAACTGAAGGGGGCAGGAAATCGCCCAGGTGTCATCATTTGTGTGAGAAATTGCCGGGTCTGGTGGTCTTGGGAAGGACACTGGCCCAGAGAAGTTGCTCCCAGCCCGGGCCTCAGCCCAAGGTGGCTCCCTGGGGCTGCAGAGGACTCACCAAGCTGCCCGTTAGCCCTCCTTCCAGTCCTCTGAAAAACCAACACCAGTTCCTTTCTTTACGACTGGTTTCCTAAATTTTACCTGCCCATCAAACACGGTCCTCCAGGAGAAGAAAGCCTTATAGGTACTGTCATCGCCAGATGACCATTTTCACCTTTAAATACTTGGCCACCTCTTTCATTTCATGGCAGACCTAGTGGGGGGACAGAGAGACCCAAGGAACCTAGGGAACGTCCAGGGGGATGGAGGAGACCCACTCCCAGCTGAGTTTCAAAGACCCATCTGAACAATTGGACAGTTAACAGCCCCCTTCAAACTCTACCCCCTGCCCATCAGACTCCGGTTAAAGAGCCACTAGTTTCCCTCTCCCTGCGTAGCCAGAGGACGTGAGCACCAAAGACCTGGGGCAGAAAGACAGAGGGCTGGTGTTCAAGGGCAGGTGATGGCAGATGGCAGTGGCAGGAACCCCAGGCACCTTCCACCCAGGCCACCCAAGGAAGAGGTGAGCTCTGAGGGATCAGAGTGGCCCGGGATTGAACCTGTGGCCACCCTGCAGCTCCCTCCACGGCTCCCACCCACAGGGCCTGAAAGCATTTCAGAATTATACCAGATAGGAAGTGCTCAGACCAGACCTGTCTCACGTACCCCTCCACCTGCTTTGTACCCACTGTGCCATGAGGAGAGAGATGCCCAGAAAGATACAGCAATTCCGAGACAGCAGCACAGCGGGGATGAGAACCTCCTTATCTTCTGGTTGAGTGAAGTGATTGTCTCCTTCCCCGCCTCTCGCTCTTCAGGACCAGCGAGGGAACCACGAGGGTTTTCTTCAGGGAGATCGTTAGAATAACTAATGGCAAATCAGGGGGAGAGTTGGAGCTCACACAGCTTGTGTCACACACGGATACACACACACGCTCTCTCCAGTCTTCTGTCCTTGTGTAAATGGAGCTGCATTACCTGAGTTGGCCACTGGGTGGCACCTTTAGGCCATGCACTTGACTCCACAGACATTTCTCTGAACAGCAACAGAAAAATATGCTTACCCTTTTAAAAAGAGTACATCTTACTGTGGGTGAAATTCGATGACAGATTGAATGCACCTTCCTCCGTGTCGTGGTTCAGCTTCTCTTGTCCCTGCCCTTTTGTTGGCTTGAGTAGGTGTGATACCCGTGGCTGTGGGAACCACATAGCCAGGAGCCTGTCCTCATGTCTCATTGATGGGGAAATTGGACTCTGTTGTTCACAGAGCATGAAATGTGCCACCCAAACCTGAGTCCTGCCGAAAGCCCTCTCCAGGGATGCCTTGGGAACCATCCTCATGACCTTGGGAGCTGTTGTCCAAGCTTTGGCCCTGGCTACTGCTGCTCTCAGCAGAAAAGATCTCACAGGTCACGCCCACCTCTCCAACACCATGCTGCTGCTGAGGGATTTGTGAGAGGCAAATATGGATGTGAGCATGAGGTTTTTCTCTCCAGTGATCCCTGGAGCATCTTTTAGTAGAGAGGTTCCCCACGTATGTCCCTTCAGCTTTGTTCCAGATGAGCCCATCTGCACTCCAACAGACATTTATTGAGCACCTACTATATGCCAAGCACCATGCCTGATACTGATGTTGCAAACAGTATCGGTTTCTCCATCTATAATATGAATGACTGGGTCCTTCCAGCTCGAATATTCTTAATGACGCCCAGATTCTATCTGCTTCTTTGATCTTTCCTTCATTTGGATGCTGCCACATCCCAACCAGATATGGCAAAGGGACTCACATTGTCTGTGGCATGGCATCTATGTCAAGTGGTAGTTCTCAGCCAGGGGTGATTTGATCTCCCAGAAGACATTTGGTAATGCCCAGAAATTTTCTGGTTGTCACAACTGGGGAGGGGATGCCACTGGCATCTTATGGGTCGAAGCCAAGATTGCTGCTAAATCTCTTTCAATGAACAAGGCAGCGCTAACAACAAAGAATTATCCAGCCCAAAATGGCAATAGTGCCGAGGCTGAGAAACCTTGATGTAGAGGGAGAGAAATCTCTTTTTGGTAATCAGAAGCACAGTGATCTAACATGCATTTAGTGCAATAATGGAACGCCTTTGTATTCTCAGCAGTCCCTGAGGCCTTCGTGATGTGTGAAGTGGCCACTGGGAAGGCTTGGGGATGCAGCAGAATGAATGCCATGGGAGGTCAGTTCTGGGACCATGTCCAGCAGAGCAGCTATTGACTAAGCCCATGGAACAGACTGTCTTTGTGCTTCCATTTCAGGTTCTGGTTGGCTGTCCAAGATCTCAAGAAACAACCCCTACAAGATGTGGCCAAGAGGGTGGAAGAAATCTGGCAAGAGTTTCTGGCCCCTGGAGCCCCAAGTGCAATCAATCTGGATTCTCACAGCTACGAGATAACCAGTCAAAACGTCAAAGATGGAGGGAGATACACATTCGAAGATGCCCAGGTTTGCTTATCTAGTCGAATAGTTCTGTCCCAAGATGTTCACTTTTCCACTCCACCACCCCACCCTTTAACACACATCCAAGGCGTTGTATGTAGTTACAATTTCAGGTTTTGTTATTTATAAGGCCATGAGTGGAGACCATTCCAGGTAGGTGCACAAAAAAATTCCAGGAGGATTGTTTTCCTAGATGAGTTACGTTGTTAAATAGAAATAGAAATTTACCCTTATACGTGGTATCTTTTCCAGGAAAACCTCAGAGTGTTTTACAAAACCTGAAGTCCTGTGATAAGTCATAGTAGAATCTGGACACCATAGCACAACTTGGGCAAACTGGGAACAGTAGCTGGCAGGGCCGGGGGTCAAGCCCACCCTCATAACTACCACCCTCCACTGCTTCCACAGTGACTCCCAACCCTGTGCTGACTGGGGAGCTTTGTGCCACGTGATGAGATACCACGAGGAACAGGCCAAAGTGCCTGCCCTCAAGGGAGTTAAAGCCTAGTGGGAGAGAAGGACAAGGGAATGGGCAGTGCCACCAGTAAGCGAAGTGCCTCAACAGGATGAGCTCTAGGGTTTAAGGGACCCATGGTTGGTGGTTGGGGGAGGGGAAACTCACAACCCTGCTAAGCACCGTTACCGCACAGATGCTGGTGAGGCTGACGAAAGAAACAGAAGCCTCCTAAGCAGCAAGCTTAAGTTGAGGGCTGGGAGGTGCCATTTCTAGAGATAAGCATCAGACCCATTTCTCACTTCCTGGGTCCTAACGTTTATTTCCTTCCACCATCCTACACTCCATGACAGGGCTTAAGGTTCTGCTCTCGTCCCCTCGACCCTCTTCATTTCTCTCACTTGTAAGGTCCCCAGGTGAGAATTTAGCGAGATTGCCCTCCCACAGACATTACCTAATTTAGGAAACGGTCACCGATGCAGGTAACGGCATGAGCGCACAGCCAGTGTCTCATCACCCGGATTTGCCTTGTCATTCGCTCAGAACTTCAGAATGGAAATACCTACCAACCTCAACACCACGACTATCATTTCTCTCCCCCTGGTCATGAGCTTCACTGAACACCTGTGCCAGGTAGATTTGGTTCTGTAGAGTTCAGTGACTTTGCTTTATGAAGTCCCTCACACCCTTTGCACCTTCAAAGCAAAATGTTTAAGTCGTGAGAAATCTTTTTTTTTTTTTCCAATAGATTTTTGTATGTGTGTGTATGTGTCCCAAGCACATAGCGACATATCGTGGTGAGGAGAGTGATGGCGAAACTCCGTGGGTGATGGAGAGGCTCCATGGGTGATGGAGAGGCTCCATGGGTGATGGAGAAGCTCCATGGGTGATGGAGAGGCTCCATGGGTGATGGAGAGGCTCCATGGGTGATGGCGAAACTCCGTGGGTGATGGAGAGGCTCCATGGGTGATGGAGAGGCTCCATGGGTGATGGAGAGGCTCCATGGGTGATGGAGAGGCTCCATGGGTGATGGAGAAGCTCCATGGGTGATGGAGAGGCTCCATGGGTGATGGAGAAGCTCCATGGGTGATGGAGAGGCTCCATGGGTGATGGAGAGGCTCCATGGGTGATGGAGAAGCTCCATGGGTGATGGAGAGGCTCCATGGGTAGTAGAGAATCTCCATAGGTGATAGAGAATCTCAGTGGGTGGTGGAGAGATCTCCATGGGTGATGGAGAATCCCCGTGGGTAGTGGAGAAGCTCCATGGGTGATGGAGAAGCTCCCCAGATGAACAATCTGAAGCACAAAACTCAACTCTCCATTATTCATGAAATATGAGAAAAGGAATACTGGTCAAAACCATGATGCTCCCCGCCCAGTATTATTGCTCTGATCATGACATCAGGAAGGATTTATTCTCATGTTTTATTATGGAAACTTGTAAACATGTGGAAAAGTAGAAGGAATGGAACAACAAACCATTGTGGACCCTCATCCAGACTCAGCAATCATCTATACAAGACTGATCTCATTTTATCTGTGTCCCCACCTACTTTTTCACCGTTTGTTTTAAAGTAAATCCAGGACTGTATCATTTCACTGTAAATAGTTAGGTGTGTAACTCTCTAAGAGAAACTGACCCTTTGGTCTTAACAATACCACAATGCCTTAACAAATTAGCAGTTATCTCTTAATATCATCAAATGTCGTGCAAGTGTTCAAATTTATGGTAGTTCCATAAATGCCTTTTTAAAATCGTTATTCAAAATCAGAATCCAAACAAGGCCCACACATCACAGTAGATCACCATGTCTTTTAAGTGCCTTGTAATCTACGAGTTCCTTTTACTCCTCCCCACCCACCCCCCAACCCCTTGCAATTTACTTAATGAAGAAATTGGATCCTTTGTGCTGGAGAGATTCCATTGTCTGGATTTTTCTAACTGCAACCCTGTGGTACTATTTAACCTGTCCTTCTACCATCTGCATTTCCTATAAACTGGTAATTTGACTTAGGTATTTAATCAGATTTAAGTTTGATTTTAGTGGGCAAAATTACTTCCTAGACTGTGCTGTGCTGATGGCACATGATGTCTAGTTGTCTCTCTTTGTGGTTTTAGCAGCTATTGATGCTTATTGCTTAAATCCATTAGTTAATTAGGGGTTACAAAATGCTGTTCTAATTCTATCATTCTTTCTTCATTTATTAACTGAAATACAAATAATCAAATGCATCTACCATTTGATTATCTAGTAATAAGGTTCACATAGGAAAGATGGAATATGTGTTTGATTCATTCCCTTTATTTGCCAATTGAAGAAATAATGAATGGTTTACTGTCATCATCCAGTGGTGACCAATTAGGGGTTTTTTGTGTGTCTGTCTTTTAGTATTCTTGTAAACCTGTGGGTTTAAACATATTTGATGCGTTTTATCCATTTTGTTTATTATTTTTATCAGTGCTTGGATTGTGCCATCTCTGCCCTGTTGGCTCCTTCTGACATGACCCTACTATTCTTTGACGTCATTCAAATACCAAGGAAAATAAGATGATCCAGGCCAGTCCCCAGACCTGGAATCAGCTAGTTCTCTAAGAATCGCTGGTTCCCCTTAGGGGGAAATGGATTTTAGAGACCATAATTTGGGCACTTAGAGGCACTCATTGTTCCTGGGTTGGTCATCATTTTTTAGGCCTTTCCAGTGGCCAGGGCTAGGAAATAGGTAGTTGTTATTTCTGATAAAAATACATCACGAGTACATACTGATACTTTCCATTCAAACTCAAAACTACAGGGGATTTTATTTAACTTCTTTCTTATGTCTGTGTCACCTTTCTCTATGCTGAGAATCCTGGTTCTCAAGGACGCCACAGATGATAGCATGAGTACTTCATGTTATTTGCTTTATCCTGCATCACCACAGAGCAGTCTCAAAGTTGCAGTGCCACCTACCAGCAGTGATGTGCTTATTGCCTGGTTCTTTAATAGCTGCATAGTATTCCATTGTGTGGAAGTACCATGGTTTAGTCAACCAGTCCTCTCTTCCTGACATTTATGTTATTACTAAGTCAAGAAATATTTGATGGGAAAACTTGGGAAATCAGCACATTGTGCCTTGACATGTTTCTGGATGCACAGCCTTCATTAGCACAGTTCTCTGCCATTTTTCAGGTACATACTTCCAAATATATTGTATCTCCTTACTGAGGATACCCAAAGCATCTCTCACCTCCTCAGTGTCTGTTAGGACTGGGATTCTCTGAGTTCTAATAAAGTACTCTTCCTAAACCAATTTCTTTTCAGCTTGTCCCCTTCTGTTTCTTAAGTGTGTTTTCATCATAAGTATACAAAGTGCTTCTCACTCGCCCTCTGACCTTGGGCAAGTTACTTAAACTCCTTGAGTCGTCTTTTCCTCATCTGTAGAACACAGATACAATGGTACCTATACTGTGGAAAGGGAATTAAGTGAAATGAAACATGTCAACAACTAACAGTGTCTGGCTCACAGTAAGATAAGATATTTATGATATTATTTCCTTAATGTCATTAATATCCTTTTATTATACTTTCATGTTTAGGAAGTTTGGTGGAAAAATTCAAATAATTGCATATAACCTTAGTACCCAGAGATAACCCCTATTCTAGTGTTTTGTTTCTCTCAACTTATGTGTAAAGAGTGTTTATGCAAATAGGGTGATTCTGTAGCCTGCCTTTTACACTAAACTAAGAGTTAATTTAAAAGGCTAAATTTCTTCTGTAAAGGGCCAGATAGTTTAAATTTTGAGGTTTGTGGGTCATATGATCTGCATCGCTACTACTCAATTCTGCCATATAAAAACAGCTACACCGTAACAGTGTAACAATGTAAAATACATAAATAAGTGGGCATGGTTGTGTTGAAAAACTTTATCTATGGACCCTGAAAGCTCAATTTCTTATCATTGTTCATGAAATATTATTCTTCTTTTGATTTTTTTTCAGCCACTTAAAAATATAAAAACCATTCTTAGTTCACATAACATAAAGAAATAGAGTTTGAGACCACTGTGCTGAACAATATATCATGAAAATCATTGAAACACTTCAACAAATCCAGAAAGATAGAAGATAGAGAGACTTGGGAGTGGTTAATCTTTCATTTATATGGGAGAGTAGGTTAGAGTAGACCATCTTGGTGCAGTAACAGCAACCCACCAATCTCCGTGAATGTTTCTGCATCAAGGTTGAGTGTTATGGAGCCAACCGACCAAGGGGAAGTCAGCCAGTACCATGATCTTCACACTGCCTTACCCTTCCTGGCCAGCACTGCTGCCTGCACCTGCTGCACGGGTGTGACTTAGAAGTTTCCAGGTAAGGAGAGGAGGCTAAGACCCAGCCAGGACTTGCTCTCCGATCTCCCGACTTGCTGGTCAAGTCTGCAGCTCAGATCACACTGCCCCTGGGTTATTAGAGCTGAGGGCTTGGTTGTCATGCAGAGACCTGGAGAAACTCCAGGTCCCTAGAGAAGGTCCCCAAGCTGGGGAGCAGGCTCTGATCCTGTTTCAGCCATATGC